GATGTAAGAAACTAAAAGTGTAAGTAAAGATCAAAATGTATAATTGATAGTGTGAAATAGGAAGAAAAGTTCTAAAAGGGCAGGGAAGTGGGAGGGGTAGGGAAAAGGAAAGAAGGGAAAGAAAAAAAACATGAGAATGGGAAAAAAATGGAAACAAAGTTTTTGTAAATAGGGAGGGGTGGAAGGGTTGAAGGTAGGGCAGGGGTATGGGGAAAAAATAAGAATCAAGATGTATAATGTAAAAGTACAAGATCCCCATGACGAATGTAACTGTTGTATACCTGAAATGTATCAGTAAACTTAATGAAAAAAATTCAAGGTTAAAAAAAAAAAAAGACTCAAGTAGAAGTGTCATCAGTTCAGTATTGTTCTCCCCACCTATAATTACCCCAATTTGGAGAGTCAGAATATTTTATTTACATTTCTCCATACAGACATTTAGTGTTATTCCACAAAATACCCTGCTTGTACATGAGAGAGAGAGAGAGAGAGAGAGAGAGGAGGGGGGGGGGAGGGAGAAAGAGACAGAGACAGAGACAGAGAAAAAGAGACAGACAGACTTCATTTATGTACCTCAGTGATAGAACAGTTGCTTATAATATCTGAGCCCTTGAATTCTAGCACCAGCATTGGGGGGGGTAGTGCAAGAATTTTAAAGTATAAAATCTACTTTAATATTTAAAGTTTATTCTCCATCTCACGACCCTGATTGTAACTAAGGTGTCTTTTTGCTTGCATGTTTTGGTGATACTGGGAATGAACTCAGGGCCTCTGCACTGAACTACACTCCCAACCCTCTTCATATTTTATTTTGAGACAGGGTTTTGCTAAATCATTAAACTGCCAATGTTGTGCTGGAGCTTGCACTCCTCCTGCCTCAGTCGTCCAAAGTGCTAGGATTACAGACATGTACTGACATGCCCAGCTTTCAGACTATTCTGAAGTTTAGCACAGTGATACATACCTGGAATCCAGCTATTCAGGAGGCTGAAGCAGGAGGATGGCAAATCTAAGGCCAGCCTAGGCAATTTAGTGAGATCTTGTCTCAAAATATAAAATAAAAAAGGCTGAGGGTATAGCTCAGTGGTAGAGCACCCCTAAGATGGGAAATTCAGTGAGATTTTGTCTCAGAATAAAATGGATGGAGGTATAAAATAAAATGGCTGTAGAGTGCTTGCCAAGCAAATGCAAAACCCTGGGTTCAATCCCAGTATTGCCAAAAAAAAAAAATCTTTAGTTTTTTACTTTCTGTTCATAAGATCCTGAGAATTCACAAATTTAGCAAGAGTAGCTCCAAAAGAAGCCTTTAAAATTACTGTTAGCCACCTCCTCTGCTTGCTATTGTCTTTGTTTTTTGCGGGGGCATTGAGACAGGGTCTCACTATGTAGTTGAGACTGACCTGGAACTCACTATGTAGCCCAGGCTGGTCTCAAACTCACAGAATTCATCCTGCCTCAGCCTCCTGAGTGCTGGGATTACAGGTGTGTGCCACCATGCCCAGCTTGTTATTGTCTTATTTAACACTTCTTGTTATAAATGATTTGACAAAGTTCTGTTCTAACATCAAAAGCCAATGGGTATAGAAAAATTATGCAGACTTTATAATTCTAGAAAATGCCATATATTTTCAAATTAATACCTATGAAAGGAAAATGTTTTTCTAAAGATATGCGAATACTTAAAAATAATCTCTATATGGATATGCCTATGATTTAAAGCAAAACATAGTATATTTCATCACTTGTTAAATAAATATATACATATTTATTTACTGTATATTTTACTTTTACTGTGAATGTATATAGTCATATATATTTCAGCATATATTTTTGCAGTAAATATAATTTGCTGTATATTTATAAAGTTTAACCCTACTTTTAAAAAATCTTTTGAAATTTGGAATGTAATTTATCATTTTTTCCTATTAAGGGTTTAATAGGATATCACTTTATGCAGATGGAAGGGTTTTTATTCTCACTTCACACAGATCTCAACAATGAGACCAGAGAGGATAATTTTCTTGTCCCAGGTTGCACAGCTGGTAGGTGAAAAAGCACAGGCAGATTTCATAACCAGATCTGATTCCAGCCATTCTGAGGTTTGTTCCCTTATGCGCTGCTTTTCCTGCTCAGTTTTGCCTAGTGTTTCCATAGACTGTTTTAAGTCTTTCCGAATTTCCTTAACTCATTTGTCCTCATTGTACAAGTGACTTATCCCTTCCTGGTGCCTGCGTGTAACAGAGCTCCTCACTTCTTTATCAGAAGATGCTGATTTGAATGGCTAGTGGTATCAGTGTTGGTCAGGGGAAGCTAATCCCAGGGAAGATGACCACAAGAACTCTGGGGTAGAGGAGACTGAGGTCCAGGGAGGGCTCCAGTGCACATCCTAGCCAACTACAGCGAAGAAAATTGAGTTTGTGACATCTGATGTTGACATTGCTCAGAAAGTCATCAAGATTTAACAAGAAATGACAATACTTTGGTTGCCAGACTCTTGTAAGAAGACAAACTCTGGTCAGATAAGTAGAAAGTTAAAGATGGATAGATAGATAGATAGATAGATGGAGATACATGACCTCCCACACACCAAGCATGTGCTCTACCACTGAGTTTCACCCCTGACCCCCCAAATGTATTTTCTTTAATTGGAAAAATACATAATGGAATTTGACCATTCTGGATCTATGAGTCTCAAAAATGTAGAACTGCTACATTGTAGGTTGTAAAGAGAAAATGAGAACTATGTGACTCTCCTCCCTAAAAGTGGACAACACACAGGTATGGAGTCCCACCTCAAAAAGTACGGTGTTATCTTATTCCTATCAATGGAAATCTGCTAAGTAAATATGACCAAAGACTTAGGACTGCCAGACATCATTTAAACAGCTTCTCTGTCAAAATGGTTTTACAAGGGTCATAAAAAGGTGTTACATTTGGAGAAAGTGCTCTCATATTAATGGATGTGATACAGAAGACACTTGTGAAAAATTGGTGATATGACCTGGCTTAAAATATTAACTTCTATCCTAATAGTGTCTTCTCTCCCTCATTTTTGAGAATACCTTGATTTTCCTTATACAAAATCAAATCATTTCTAAACATTTAATTCTTAGAAGACTTGTTTTATGCCACTAGAACAAGATTTGTTAGTTATATTATTTGGAGGGAGACACTGAGGTATATTTTGTAAACTAGATACATACATTATCATGGTTATCTTGTTTTTTAGTTTTTCTTTAAAAATATTTGTATGCTACTTTATACAAAAAGTTATTTTTTAAAGTAAGAATAAAAATAGGTACACAATTATTAAACTTTAATGTCAAAATTATCATTTTTAGTAATGAAGTAAAATAATGATACATTGACTTGGTTATTAGGGCACAATATGGTCTCTTACTTATTTTAATTGACCTTTTTCCATAATTCAATTTCTTTCTCTTTCTTAATTTGATTATGTATTTATATTTCTTGATATGCCAAGTCCCCACACTATATATGTAGAGCAAAGTATGTGCTACTATTCTTACTCTTGGGTATATATTATTGTATTTATTAGAAATTATAAGATTTGTGCCTTGAGGCCATAATTTTAAGTGAAATTAATCAAGCATACAAGCTTAAATATCACATGGTTTCCCTTATAGGAGAAACCCAGAGTAAAAATAAAGAGCAAAATAAAAGTTAGAACACAGAAATAGGGAGATAGATGTTCTCAAAGGGGAAGGTGGTTAAGAGATGGAGGGAGGGAAAGATAAGGGTTGGAAAAAAAGGAATTCGGATGAGTTAGGTGCATGTGCCATCTCCACACAAAGAATGGAAACATACTGCAAATATGAAAAAGAAAAAAAAAGGAAGAGCATCAAGGGATGGGGGGAGGAAAAGAGGATGAAGAAAGAATGAAGGTGTGTTATATCCATGTACCAACACCCCATGAGGGATGGAAACATTATGTACTAATACATGAAAATAAAAACAGACTGGAAACAATTTTTAAAAATTCAAAAAGATTTTACATAATTCTTAGCACTTTCTTTAAAGATGTTGTACTTCCCTCATGGTACTCCCTCTGGACATCTTTAGAAAGTCCTAAGATAATTATCAGTCCTGAGCTGTTGCAGTTGTCTGCCTTAGCAAGGTAAGCATGACATGAATGTATAAAGTTTATAAACTATTTCTTCCTAAGACTCAGAAAAGTATTAAGGGTATGGGTCCAAGAAGGGGAGGGCTGAAAATTAATTATAGTAATGGTGCAAGCATTTCTATCTAAATTCAGCACAAAAATGACAGGTTAGGCACATCAGAATTAAGTGCAAAAGCCTATTCGGGGCATTCATCATGAATTTCAAAACAATGATGGAAATATTTATTTTATTTAAATACTTTAGAAAACATTGCCTTATCCTGAAAGCTCCATCTTCTTGAATTAATTTCTATCATTAAAGTATTTTTTCTCATAAGAGAAACAAATTTTAAAAGATAATTTCTCTTCGAAATAAACTAGCTCAAGTCTAAAAATCTTAAGAAAAGCCTAAGGTTTTGGTTCTGTCTTAGGATGAAAAGGGAGAAACCTTGTTGTCCAGCATGGTTGGAAAAGAGAGCTGTGTAATTCAATTCTCTAACGTATTTAAAGATACACAGAGACTTCTTTGTTGAAATTTTAAAATGAGCTCTTACACAATAAAACTGCGTGCCATGTGAATGAATTCAATAAAAGATTGGAGACATAAGATTCAAAACAGAAGTACATGTTCAATTTCACTTCTGAACAGTTAATCAAAGCATTCTAATGCAATTTCTTTCTTTCATTTAAGCAATTCAAATTAAAAAAATAACTCTGTAGAATCCAAATTCTTATACTTAGCATAGGTAAGCTCTATCTCAGAAAGATGCGTGCATGTATAGGAAAATAAATGCCAAAAAAAAAAAAATTCCTCTCTATCGTCCAAACACCTTACGGTAACCTCGTTTTTCAAATGATAAAAGAAAGAGCGGATTACCTGACACACAGAGGTAATACCTGTCCTGGACCGAGAACTCTATTTCTATGAACTCGTACAGATTCTGCGAGAGTGGCTTGAACAGTTTCTTCTGCAAGTCCTCCTTCACCAGTGATGACATTTCCTCCCCTTCCACTTGGCCTGATTCTTGGCTCAAGCTCTCGCTTTCCTTCTCTGAGAGGTCTTGCTGGGATTTGCAAGGCTCCCCACCTTTCCTCTCTTGGACTTCTCATTCACAGCCCAAACGCAGGCTGCGGAGCGAGGCGCTCAGCCCCTCACTGCGGTATCTGCCCAGTGGCAGCCGGGGCGACAGGCAGCAGCCGAAACACAGCAGAGGCGCTGGCCCGCCGCCGCTGTCAGAGCTCCGCGTCCAGCCTCGGGGAGGTGGCTGGCGGGAGCTCTCCTGTGGCTCCCCAACCGGGGACGATCGCAGATCTACTTGTGGAGTCTCCTGGTTATTCCGGTCTAGTAGTCTCTCCCTTTCAAAGCAGCGCTGTGCAGAAAGACCACTGCTTCAGCTTGATGCCATTATATAGATCAGCTGCCTGACTCCATCGATTGGGATCCTCTTCCATTAAAAACTTCGCTCTCATTGCCAAGAGACGAGACACCCGTGCTCGCTCCTAACACTTCCTCCAACAAGTCTTGTTCCCCTCCTGCAGTGCATTCAGACCTTTGCTTCCATGAACATCAGCGCCTGTTTCTGGGTCTAAATTATTTTTAAAATGGAAATTCAGACAGGCCCGTCTTTAATCCCAATTATTTCTTCACTCACAAAAATATATTAAGTATCTGCTGGGTCAAGCACTATATTTGCTTGTGTGGGTGAAACTACCGTCCTTGAGGAGTTTGAGATGAGTACTAGCAGAGCAGCCAAATAACTACCATCAACGTGTAAAAGTGACACACGGCGCAAAAGGGAAGGGAACACAGCACAGGAAAGGGATACACGTGGCTGGGCGGGTCTGAAGCAGTGCAGCGGGGACGATCTGGAGCTGGAGGAATGAGGAGAACAGGTGTGGGAAGAGCATATTGCAGTAAGGCTCAGGGTTGCATAGCTCTGCACCCCAAACACAGGGGTGTGCCGTGTATGAAAGGGGCCCCTTCAAAATTCAGGGGTAGCGAATGGAATGACATCCAGAGATGGTGCTGCTAAGCGGCCTTAGGCCCTGGGCTTCTCCCTTCTGGATAGCATTGAGGCCTAGGAGAAAGAGGCTTCCAGCAGACTTTGGCTGGCTTGCCCTTGTTCCTTCTGCCATATGAGTGCACAGCACTCTGCCACTCTAGAAAAGGCAGCTCTCAGCACACAGCCGAATTTCATGGCGCCTTCATCTTGGACCTACCAGCGTTGAGAACTGAGAGAAAAGATTTCTGCTCCCTGTCAATTACCCAGCCTGTGATATTTTGTTAGAGTAGCACAAATGACTAAGGCAGGATTGGAAAGGACAAGAAATTGTCCTATTTTTCTGAGTTGTAGGACATATGAACTGAAAAAATAATGTCGGAAACAAAAATTGAGGTTGTATCATGAAGGCCCATAAAAGCCAGGTTGATCCTTTGGACTTTATTCTATAGAAGAAGAGAGTCAATGAAGATTCGGTGTCATTCATTTGGTCAGTCATTTAACATGCTTTTACCAGGCTCTAAGAACTGGGAATATGGTAATGGAAAAAAAAAAAAAAAAGACAAATCCTTGTTCTGTAAAATTGAGTGGAATAGCTGGGAAACAAAGTAATAAATCACTAGGGCCAGGGATTTAGCTCAGTGGTTCTGCCACCTGCCTCCCAAGTGCAAAGTCCTGAGTTCAATCCCCAGTACCAAAACAAAAAAATACCAAAAAACCAAAACCAAAACAAAAAACCCCCCAAACAAAACCAAAACCAGAGTAATAAAGCAATAGTATATTCAGCTGCAAGTAATAGAATACACCATGTAAAGTGAAAGTAATCTCCTGTAATAAGAGGTCTGGGGTGGGCAGTCCCAAGGTCAGCTCAAGGCTCACATCTGGGAGCCCCAAAGTGCTTTCCACTCTGCTGATCTATCCTTGAATGTTGGCTTCTTTTGCGGGGTGGGCAGTGGTCCTCAGGCTGAGATGGTTCAGCTCAAAAGAAAGAAACGAAGGCAGGCAGGCAGGCAGGCAGCCAGGGGTGGCTCTTTTTTCTTTTCTTTTTTTTTAGGAAGCAAAAGTTTTCCCAGAAATGAGCAGCAGATTTTCCTTTCTAACTCAGTAGCCATAACTGGGTCACATGGGCATCCCTGAATAGAAAGTATTTGTCACTTCTGGCTGCTCTCCTGGGGGGTGGAATTTTCTAACAAGGAGGAAGGGATTGGAATGACGCGGGGCAGGAAACTGATAATGTTTTCCATGGTTGCGCTCAAGAAAAATTAATGGCAGGTGGTTGGCCAGGTTAAATTGTGAGTGAAAACATTTACTTTCAGGAACCCTAGTTTCCTCATCACAAGAACAGTCTCTAGGGTCTTTTCTTACTTGCATTTTCTCCTTTTCTGTCTGGGATTCTGGAAATCTACAAAACCAATTTGGATAAAAGAAGAAATGGAAGAGAGGGAATGCATGCAGGATATACCTGGATTTTAAAAATCTGGAAGCTATGGCATCCAATTAGATATGGAAGGTGGAGTGATGTAACTACCTCACAAGTTTTTCAGAGGAAAAAATTCCCATGACAGCAGCCCAAAGTGATATTATTTCCGGCTTTTATATTTAAATTAGTTCTTTCTCCTAGATATATTAGTCTTCATATGGAGAAAAACAGACTAATAAAATAGTCATAGCAATTCATCAATATTATCATTGAAATAATAATTAGATATTTATTTGTTTGAATAACTTCGTACTTTATTCCCTTGTAGATTCCATGAGACCAGAAACCAAGTATTTAGGACTCGCTATGCACCCAAAATGTACAGGCTGCAGGGCCTGGTATGTAATGGACATTATTACGTTCATTTATTCAACCATTAATTTATTTATAAATATTTACCAACAAATAAGTGAATAAAAATCAATAATTAAAATAAGTTCTTTGCATAGCTGATTTTCCAGTGATACATCTTCAGAAACAGTGGAAGCTGTTAGGCTCACCAGTCACCTACCCTGAGTCAATATCCATTTGATTTTGTTGTCTTGAAGGTTTGGTATTTAGACACGTGAGTTTCGAATGCTCTTCTGAAGGAAATACAGCATGTGCTCGCTTTAGCAGCATGTATACTAAAATTGGAGGAAATACAGCAACTTTCTGTACAGGTCCTTATGCTTACTTCATACATGTACTAACAAAGGCAAACAAGAGAAGGAAGTGAGGCTGTGTATTCCAGTCTGTTCTTAAAGAACACTAAAAGTGGAAGCACAGGGAGTCTCATGGTAACAGTGTAACTTCTAAATCGCAAAATGAAATGTTTGCTATCAACTCTCACTGTTCAAAAACTATTCGCCACGCTGTTGAACAGTTTTATGGTATGAGTTTGATTTGCAGTCATAGAGGAAAAGTCAAGAAGTCATGTTAAAGTGCTAAAAAATGCTAGATTTCCAAATAATTCTATGAGAACAATCTAGCAGACATTATCAAAATTAAAGAATTCAAAGGATTAAGCCTTAAAAGAAATGCAAATGACAACTCATTGAAAGCAGAAATAAGAAAAAATTTTAGTCTTAAATTTCATTAAGAACACTTAATTCTTAAGAATAATTAATTCTTCTTAATATAGAGGAATACAATGCTAGACCTTTGGAAACTAACATCACAAAAGAGGTTAAAATTTAAAACAGCATTCATTCATATTAGCAAATATTTAAGAGTTATTAAATCATTTTTCCTCATAGCCAAAGATTATTCTAGACTCGGTATTTATTTTCTGAAATGCTATAGAATTGTCAGTGAACATATAAGTGTGAAACCATGGGAAAATGACATTTTTCTGGAAAGACTTATTTTTTAAAAGATCCTCAAATTTGCCCTAATGTGTTTCCTACAGGAAAGGAATTTTTAATACCTAGTTTTTCACTAATGAGGCCCAGGTAGTTCACCATTCTGGGTAAAGTGATGAAAAGTGTATCTGTGTCGATAGAGCCCAGCTGGTATAGATGGAGGACAAGTTACTCACAGGAAAAGACCTGCTGTACTCAAGACCTGCAGATTAATCTTTGTGTTGTTTGTGGAATGGAAGCCTGGGTTCTAAAATACCCAAAACTAGAGGAGTCACTTGTAATTTCTAAGTCTAAAAATGGTATGTCTATTTTATCCTTATTACTTTTGTTTTCAGAGGTTTAGGACACCAAAATCTACAGATGCCTAAGTCTGTTATAAAAATGGTGTAGTATTTGCATATAACCTATGTGTATCCTTCTGTGTACTTTAAATTATCTCTAGATTACCTATAATATGTTATTCAAGGTAAATGACATGTGGTTAGTTGTTATACTGTATTTTAGGGAATAATTATAATAAAAAGTATACATATTCAATGCAGATGTAATTTTAAAAAAGATTTTCAGTGTGGGGATGGCTGAAGCCATGACATGGAACCCACAGATACAGGGTACCACCTGTACTTTCTGAGGTGTTCTCTTGCTTCCGTTTGTTTTCATCTGGTTATAGATACCCCATAGCATCCAGGAAGTAGGATTATTGTTAAGTTTTAAGAGAACACAGCCCTATGCCAGAAAGGAAAAGAAAGATGGTTCCTTTTTTCTGTGACCGCTCTTTGCCACGTCTCCACAAGATTTAATTGCAGACATGCTGAGCTCCCTGGCACCTCAGACTTCAGTTTACCAAGAGCATTGCAGAATGTGTCATGGAGAAGGCCCTCAGAAGTTCACTCTCCGTGCCAGAGTCCTCATTAGGAAGAAGGCCGCTAGGAGTCAGCTGCAGACAGAATACTCCATTGCTTGGAATGTCCTGGTGTGATTTTAAAACAGACAGAAGCAGTTTCTTTTAACAGGAAAAACAAAAAGGAATCCCAAAGTGTATACACAAAGTGATTTTCAAGGAGGAGATTTTCATACAGTTTTACAAATGTTTAAAGAAAAATGATGTAGAAAGTTGTATATTTTCTTCTGCATACTGTAGAATAACAGCAAGAACAAGTTTTATTTTGTTTCACTTTGGTTCCACGGGCTACATGATTTATGTGCGGAAAGAGGCTACTTCAATACCATAAGGTAATGAAAATATAATTATTTATATAAAATGGCTTTGTTTGTGGGTACTTTTATATAAAAAGGAGATAGGCAGACATTTTTATTTTATTTTTTTATTTTTTGATTCTGGGGATTGAACTCGGGTCCTTGTGCTTGTGAGATAGGGAGCAGAACCACTGAGCTAAATCCCAGGCCCAGGCAGACATTTTTAAACATGAGGGAATTTCAAATTAGCTAGTGGAGCAGAAGTTACTTGATATGTAACTAATAATCAATTTCTGACAACAGCTTTTATAACCATCGTGTCATAATAGTTATGGACACATAGTGTCAACTATTTTCCAGGCATGAAGAGCTTTACAAATGTTAGATTATTATTTTTTTTTATTTTTGGTATTGGGGATCGAACTCAAGACCTTGCACTTGTGAGGCAGACATGGTGCCACTGAACTAAATCCTTGGCCCTATTAAATCTTTCTGACAGTCCAATGATATAAGTATCACTGCTCACATTTTACACATGAGAAGGCTTATGCACGTTATTAGCTCCCTGTGTGAGGTCTAACGCAGCTAGTCTTGCTCACTAGACTGTGCTGCTTTATTCCAATTTGACCGTGAGTAGTATTTACAACCTTGTTATAAAATTATTTTTAGAACATTTTAATTTATAGGTAAAGATACCATTTTCTCATCGGAACATTTTTACTCTTAGATCTTTCAAACTTGCCTGCATCCAG